TCTGCTAATTCCACCCAATTCTTCAGAAAAAAGCCTTACCTAATCTTTTTTTGCTATTCCTGATCATGCTGTTTCTTTTCTTTTTTTTTTTTTTTTTTTGCGGAACCAGGGATTGAACTCAGACCCTTGAGCTTGCCAGGGAAGCGCTTATTCCACTGAGCCATCTCCCCGGCCCCTATTCTGTTTCTTATAAACAAAAATATCCTAAGACCAGGCCTGTGACCACTTCTGCTCTGGGGGCCCAGAACTTCCTGCCAGAGCATAACGTCAGGGCCTGCACCCTCCTTCCTTCTTAACATCCTTGGCCTTTTTTCTGGGGCTGCACACTCAGGTCACACCATTTGGACTGGCAGGTACTTAGTTCCCCAAGAAAGAGCTGGCAAAGTGACGAGTCAATGTGTCTAGAGAAGGTGGCTGAGGCAGATCCTGTTCTCTGCTTGCCTTGTCTCCATTCTCCTTTTCTTTCTTTCTGTGACGGGATGAATGTTTGTGTGCCCCCCCACACACACACATAAAATTGTATCTTAAAATCTGAAACTCCAAAGTGGCAATGTTGGGGGTGGGTGGGCCATGATTAGGTCACCCAGCAGAGCCCTCCTGAGTTAAATGAATGCACAGATAAAAGAGAACCCAGAGTGATGCTTTGTCCCTCCCACCATATGGGGATATAATGAAGAAAAGCTGACTATGAAGCAGGAAGGGGCCTCATTAGACACTAAACTAGCTGGCAGCTTCCAGATCTGTGAAAAGTAAATTTCTGTTGTTTACTCTCCATCCACTGTATAGTATTAGGTCATAGCAGCCCATGTGGACTAAGGCTCTTACTGGCCAGATCTCAGTGTGTTTGAGTAGTGACGTATCCAGCTGAACACATCCTTGTAGAAGGGGCAGCTGTGTGGTCAACGCTATGACAAAGTTTCTACATGGGGCTTTGGGGTAGGTACTTTTAAAAGGAGTCGGGCCCCGCAGATGTGCTCTTTTGCCATGTGCCTTTCAGCCTTCCTCTTTTTCCTTCTGGAATGCAGAAGCTGGCCTTGGAGGTCAGCTGCGAGGAAATCTGCTGCGAGGAAATCTGCACACTGCCAAGATTGGAGCCCGAAGCAAGGGCCTGCCTCTTTAGCGACATCCCACCAGATTTGCTCTTTTTTAAGGGGGGAAAAAAGCCTTACAAGACTCAGTCTTATTGCCAGTTAAACAGAGACCCAATGCTATTATGGGCTACTGGACTCTTAGAATATTTTGCTGAGTTTACACACCTATAATATTCAATAACAGAACTTAGAAAAAATGGAGTATACCTATGAAGGTCCATTTTGTATCTGTGTATTCAAAGTGGTTGGGATAGATATATAGTTGCATTCTCTTAATGAATAGAATGATTTGTTCTAATGGTGTTTGTAAATAAGATCACAAGTCCGCATCTTGTACAGCAATTAACCACTAAGAAGAATATATGCAGTGTATTATTTGTTGAAACTGTACTTCTGATTTGATTTGAAACTGTCTCATTGCTATCTGTTTATCAATAAAACTTTGAAGAAAAAAAAAAAAGACTCAGTCTGTGTCAGGTTTTGTCAACTGCAAAGATTGTGATGGGTAGCATGGAGCCTGAGAAGGAAGAGGAGCAATGGGAAATGTCAGGTGAGAGTTCCTGTTGCTAATGATCGTAAGAATAAGCAGAGCAGCAGCGACATTACCCAGCCTTTCCCAGTCACCGGCTAGACTCTTGGCCCTTACTGGGGCATTTTACAGACGAGGGTTTTCAGGAACATGCACAAGTCACACAGCCAAGGAGGGGAGAGCTAAGTGCAAACCTTTGTCTGTCTAATCTGCCCCCTTTGCAGCCCACATCAAGACTCTCAACCTCTGACTCTGGTCCATGGCTGCTGTCTTTGGTGCCTGGCGTTGGGCCTTAAGGCTGCTGTCCAAGCTCGTGCTCCCTGCTGCCCTTAGTTTGTATCCCCCAGTCTGAGCCAGGGTTCATGCTGCTGCTCCAATCGTGCGCTGGGAGCGAACACCTCCACCCACCCCTTCCTCTCCTTGTCCTCTCTGGCTCTGCTGTGTGGGATGGTCTTCATCTGTGTACCTCTCTTCCTCTTGCTGCCGTCCACACCAGAACGCAAACAGAATACCATCACTCCTTAGTTTTGTTTCTTTGGAGTTGTAAACATGTCCTCTCTTCACCTTGTTTGTACCTTTCTCATTTTGTTTGAGTAAGTTTCAAGAACCCCTAGTGGACGGAAACAATATACAGTCCCAGGAAAATTATGTATTACATCTATAAATTATAAAGGAATCTTGGGCATCATCCAGCCTCAGCATCTCCCCAGAGGACTGCAAACTCAGGTTATCTGGAGTCGGGAGGGGGTGAGGGTGCTTTCGAGTCTTCTACATGCATTGCATCTTGCAATACATGTTCAACTAGTTCCCAAATATATAGATATTATCATGATTAACAGAACACAGTCTTTTTAAAGCACTACTGAACTTAGAGGTTTTGACAATGATTGATTTTCTATGTGTGAGTGTGTGAGAGAAAGAGGGACAAAGGGAAAGAGAGAGAGAGGGAGAGAGAGAGAGAGTCCTCGGGCAAACCTGTAATGTTTCCTGTTTGTGAAGAAAGCTCCCTGTGAGCCTCAGAACTGCCCTTATCTTGAGTCCAGCTGGACCTCTGGGAAATTTCTATAGTTTCCATGATCAACTGTAGTTAAGCTGAAACTTAATCCTGCTCATATTTGGAAATCAGCGCCTGTGTCCTGACTTAATGTGGCCTCATACCTCTTACCTTATTCTCAACTTGTCCGGGGGTGACCAGCCCATGCTGGCTTTCCAGAGACTATGCTGCTCTACACATGGAAAGTTCTGGGTCTGGAAATCCTGCCCATTCTGGATAAACCAGGATGGCTGGTCATCCAGCCTGCAACTGTCTATACTTTTTCAGGCTAACCATTGCTGCTTCTTACAATGCTTGCAGTAGGATGAGGTGTTGACATTCTACCATTCTGATGGCTTAATTTGGCTCAAATTCTCATTTGTCAATGTCACTCTTACTACAGGGTATGTAGAATTGATGCAGATACTAAGTATTGAATTGAGTAGACCTTCTGTACTTTTCTTTTGGCTGTAATTTCAATGCGACCCATTAAAATCACAGGGCTATTCCATAAATTTCTGTCAATCCCCTTGACCCCTACCTTGCATTCACA